GTGAGCCGGTGCCTGGGGAGAGCCGTGCTGTGGAGCCTGCGGAGCACACGCACGCACACGCCCGCACACGCCCCCACGACCCTCCTGGCAGGGATGACGCCACTGTGCCCGGGGATGCTGGGAGGACAGAGCACCTCCCCAGCTGGCCTCGCTGCCCGTGCCAACAGCATGTGTGGCTCTCAGGGTCAAACCTCATCTCCCAGAAATGGCCACCACGGTCACGTACATACAGATGCCACTGATGGTGGCCTTCAGCCAAAGTCTGTCTGTCTGTGATGGCAAAGGGACCCATGAAGAGATGAGGACTGCTCTGTGTGACGTCACCTGGGACGAACCCCTCAGGGCCCCCCACCTGCCGGCACAGGGCACTCCCCAAGTCCAGCTACAAGACTCTGCCTATCGGCCACCCTGCTGCCACCTCATTCAACGGGACGGAATCGTCCCGAGTGGCCACAGAGGCTGGAGGGCCACACACCAGGACCCGGCTCCAACAGCAAGGCCTTTCCTCTTCAAAGGACTGGAGAGGCACCTGCGTGGCCAAGTGCCGCCTCACCTCCAACTTGTGCTACAGAGAAAAGCAGCAAGTCACCCTCTTGCAGCCACAGGGCAGGATGCACGCCTCCCTCCCCTGGAGCCACACAAGGCAGAGCCGGACTCCGCAGGCACCTGGAGTCCTGCAGACTCAACCAAGCCAAGCGTGAAGCCGGGCTAGTGGGAATGACCGAGAGATACGCCTGTGTCCAGAGCAAAAGGTGTGACATTCACAGCACAAGGATCCTGGCCACCCCCCCTCAGCCATGGCCATGGCCATCAGGACAGATGGCAGACCCCGGCCAGCTCGCCCGCTCTGTGCAGAGGCCAGCGGGACCCAGGGGAGCAAGCAGGAGTCGGGAGCAACGGGGCACGAGTACTCACAGGACCTGGCTGAGCTGGTGGAACTGCTCCAGGGCCTGGCGGCACCAGCACTGCTGCTTCTCGCTGCCGCACCCCGCGCACAGCGGGCTCTGCAGGAGCCGGTAGTAGCGGCGGCGGGCATACCTGCTGTCCAAGTCCCCCTCCAGCTCGGGGTCCGTGCCCCCCTCTCCTTTCCGCTTACTCTGCATGTAGACCCTCAAGAAGCGCCCGTAGAGGCGCTGCACCGTCTCCTGGAAGGTCCTGGGCGTGGAGAAGAACAGGACGCCCCGCAGCGTGGTGTGCACCTTGTCCCGCAGCCCCTGGGCGCCGGTGCCCATCAGCAGGCCCAGGCGGGTCCACTTCTCCAGCAGCTCCAGGCTGCGCAGGTAGGGGTCCAGGCGGCTCTCCAGCAGCGCGAACGCGTCCAGCAGCAGCAGGAGACACTGCGGCTCGTCGGCGCAGCCCTCGCGCTGGGAGACGGCGTTCCAAAACTCCGGGGAGATGTTGGCCTGCAGGTCGCTCTGCAGCACCTCGAGGAACCACTCCTCCAGGACCGAGTGCAGGCCGTGCGCCCTCAGCACCTCCACCGCCGCCCGCAGCTCCTCCTCCTTCGGCGGGACTGTGCCGCTGGTCCGGG